AAGGAGAGTCCAGGGAAAAGGTCAAGCCCACTCAAGGAAGACCAAAGTTAGGCTGCCATCTTGAATCTAGGATCTGCCCGTCTTGTAACATGTGTACCCCTAGTCTCTCCCCTTCCTATTGCATGTACACCCTAGCTCCTCCCCTTCCGGTGACGCATAGGCCTATTGTACGGCCCCTTCCTGTGACGCATATGGTTACCTGTAATCAGGAGGGTTTGCATGCCTTCTAAGGATATATAAGCCTTGGTCAGAAATATATTCGCTCTTGCCTCCTCCGGCTCTCTGTGGGGACCTGGCTGCTGAGAGCATGGTCATCCAGGAGGTGAGCATGCTACTGTGAAATGTGTCTTGATTCCTTTATTTTATCTTCTCTCTTATTTCTTTTCTTTTCTGAGACTTTACTATAATCTTTATATATTATAGCTGTATAAATGCACCTACGAACTCTGTGATTGTTGGAGGCTGGATTACTCTAACAACCCTCTACTTGACTAAGCATCCCATCCTTTTCCAGGGTCTGTTCCCTGCTGATAATACGTTCAAAGTATGTGAGATGAAGTCTCACCATCATCGTTTCTAATAAGTATTCCTCCCTGTACTTCTTCCAAGACAGCTGTGCCTGTTCTTCTCGCTATCCACGGTACTTCCCTTATTCTTCACCAGAACCAGAATTCAAATGCATCAAGTTGCCAATGTCTTCCTTATTTAGTGCCCAACTTTCACATGCCTGTGAGGTGGCTGAAAACAGTACAGCTAGGGTCAGGTGCACCTGTCTTCACAGTGACATCCTGCTCTTCAGCATGTTAAAGAGGTTTTGTGCAGATCCACCCACTGCAATAAGCCGTCTGATTTCTTGACTGTTGCTTCCATGAGGGTCTACGCAAAATGAAATCCTTGACAACGTCAATCTTTGCTCCACCCACCCTGATGCTGTCTATTGTGCCCAGTCGTGTGGATTTTGGTCTTCTTTACATTGAGTTGCAATCCATACTGAAGGCTGCAATCCTTGATTTTCCCCAGCAAGTGCTTCAGGTTCTCTTTACTTTTAGCAAGCAAGCTTTGTCATCTGTACATCACAGGTTGTTCAGAAGCCTTTCTCCAATCCTGATGCTGTGCTCTTCTTCAGATAGTCTAATTTCTCAGATTATTTTCTCAGCATTTAGACTGGATAAATATGACTCTTATGCGCTACAACTCTGATGCACACTTTCCCTGATTTTAAACCATGAAGTACTCCCCTTGTTTGGTTCAAACGACTGCCTTTTGGTTTCTTCAGGGGGACAAAGTCTCTAAATTTGAATGTGGTGACAGTGTGACTATATAAAAAGCCATGGGACTGCTACATTTCACATAGGTAAATTGTAAATGAATCACATCTCAATAAATCCATTTACAAGGTAGAACAGACCACGTGAATAGGTGATATATAAAAAGAAAGTGTTAAAAAATGCCATCTATGGAACTCTGGCTTCTTCAAATCATGTCTAAGCCAGCATCTCTAAAACACTATGACCATTCTCAGCAAACTTGAACAGAAGGGAACGTATTCAACTTGATAAAGGACATCTACAAGAGACCATGACAAGACCACAAACACACCCTACCCCAAAGCAAGAGAAAACAGACAAACCAGTTGGCAAGATATCAAGCAAAATGAGTTTTCCAAGGGCCCCCAAGTGGGGAGCATGCCCAAGGGGACTCTAGGTGGTAGGCTGCTGACCAGAATGGAACCAGGGGCAGCCCCACCTTTCCATCTGCAATCCTGATTCAGGCGCCACTTGGGATGGAGACTTCTACAGGTTGCTTGAATTTTGTACTCACGAGATATTCCCGGGGAGCCGGGTGGTGCAGTGGGTACTGCCCTCGGCTGCTAACAGAAAGGTTGGTGGTTCATATCCACCAGCTGCTCCTGGAGATAGAGAGGGTGCAGTCTGTTTCTATTAAGACTAAAGCCTCAGAAACTGAGTGTGTGTGTGTATACGCATGTACTATAGTATTGCTGTGAGGTCTGGCTTTACTTCTGAGGCACACAGGACACTGACACAAACACCCTTGGTTATATGATGCTTGCAGCAATGCTCTCGAATGATGACAATGACAACAATGACAAATCAAAGGAAAAGATCCAGCAGTGCCAGGCAAAGGTTGGGGCGAGGGCCGTCCCTGCCACACTGGCTGCAGAGCAGGACATCAGGCAAACGAGCCCAGCAGAGAAGCACCTGCATGTGCACCTCCAGAGCCAGGTGTTGTCTCAGCACAGGTGGCTCCTCCCTGCACTGTCCTCCCACCTGCACAGGTCGTTTGGCAGCAATCCCACTCCCCGTCTTCCAACCCCATCTACTGGCCTTTCTCCATGACCCTGTCCCCAAACTCCTGACAGGCAGACCCCGAGTCACAGGCATCGCAGTGCCTACAAGTGGAAGGTGGGTGGCAATCCTGCGTGGAGCAAGTCCACCGGTGCATTTTCCCAGCAGTCTGCCCTCCCTTCCTGCCTCTGCTGCAGGCAGCAGTGCTTGCCATGTTTCCCTCTCTCCTCCTGATACTGCCCACTCCACTGACCACAGGGGGGTGTCGACGTCATTTGCACATACTGGGAAACCAGATGTGTGCGAGCCTCGTGTGACTGAGATACCAACCAGGGCCCTGTCCCCCGGTGCTCTGCACTGGGACCCGCAGTACCTCCATGGTCTGCCTGGCTCTGATGGGCTGTATGCCTGGCTCCCAATGAGAATGGAGGCTGTGAGAGGCCAGGGCCCAGCTGCTCACAGCTCTATTGCCCGAACTTCAAAACAGGTCTGGGCCAGTGCAGGCTCTCCATGCAGACCTGCTCATGGCTCTAGAAAACCAACCGCCCAGCACTGTGGACTGGCTTGATTTTCAAGCATGGGAACCAGGGCTAAGAGGATTCAGTTAGGAAATAATCACAACAGTGGGAGGGAAAGAAATGGTTATTAAAAAAAAAAGAGACAAAACTTCTTAAGAGCTGTAAGTATGCCGGGCTATTCTGGGAATGCACAAAGCAGCTGGACACACACTTGGTTGGGGATAGGCACCTGAGTCTCCCCAGGACCACAGCGGTCTGGTTCCTGGAGATGCCTCCCTCTCGGGCAAAGAGTACGATAACTCGGGGGCTGTTGGCTGTCAAGGCTCCCTAAAGACAGCAAGCTCTTGCCTACACGTGAAGCTAATGCATAGTAAAGATACGTTTAAAATGAGATAACCAATATTCTGGGGGTGGGGCGGGGGGCGGCGGCGGGTGGTGTGTGTTGTGTGTGTGTGTGTGTGTGTGTGCTAGCGCGCATGCACAAGTAAGTAACCGCCGAGTCAGAAGCACCCAGGTGAAGCCCCTACCTGCACACCAGGAAGGCCATAAATTGTGATGTGAAAACCAAACTAAGAAAGAACTAGAAGAAAGCATTACAAGCTGCTCCTTACGAGCTGGGGACTGGGAACACTTCCAAAAGAAGAGGGCTGGAATAAAGGAGAGAGAGAAAGATACTCCGCAATTTTCCTCTGTTCGAGCAGGTAGGGCCTGAGGACAGACATACTGTCCAAGACACACTTGGCACTCCTTCTCAGGTGTACACACTGGAGGAGGGCCCACACGGCCCTTGCAACTCTCAGGCTTCCCCACACTACTCATTCTGTGCGTCAAGCCCTAACAACAATAAATAATCAACTTAGGTCAACTTCGATCACAACAGGTTGTCAACTGCAGAAATGAACATTGCTTCTGTTTTGTTCTCCAAAGCACACACAGCAAAGTGAGAAATACAGGCTTATTTTAGTTAATTCTAAAATGTATAATAAACTTAATAGGTTATATGTGACACATGCATAGGGTGATGCAGTGCTTAAGTACTCCAATGCTAATTGAAAAGGTTGGCGGTTCAAATCCACCAGCTGTTCCAAGGGAGAGGGTTGTGGCAATCTGCTTCCATTGTAGCTTTGGAAACACGATGCGACCATTCTACACTGTCCCACAGAGTCCCTATGAATTGGCATCAATGCAAGGGTTTGCTGTTATTTTTTAAGACATAATATACACACCAGTATAACACACAGCTTTACATAAATCCATAATTTAGTTTTGCAGAGTAGAAGCAGCAATAAAAATATTGAGTTTGCCAGAAAAAATTCTATTACTAAGCCACTGTGAGGCCCAATGGCTCCTCTGGGTGACCTATTCGAAAAGGTGGATCAAACATCAACAACTCAGAGGTCGCGGCAATGGCTTCTAGGTCAAATCATGGAGTCGCGTGAGCGCATCTAGTGACACGCTCCCAGGTGGTGCTGACAGGTCACCCTGGGATGCAACTGACCTGCAGACACAGGTTGTCTTGAGACGGCAGCCGACTGAGATTTCAGAAGTGGACAAAACAAACGACGGTGTCACGGTGAAGGAGGTCACCCGGTAGACCAGGGCCAACTGTCTGATGCCCACAGGGTCCCTTCGCCACCTCTCCTTTCCTACCCACACACACATTCACTTCCAAATGACACACTGGGGCTGCAACCAGCTCGTGGAAAAGCAGACTTGGCAGAGGAGGGGGTTTTTCCACCACCTTTTTGAAGTGCCCCTCATTAATGGGCAGGAGTACCTTGTCACACCTGCCTTATGTTATATATAAGGATAAGGAAATGGAGATACATTTCTGACTTTACCACCAAGTCACTCACATGGGACACGTCCAGTCCCCAGAAGGCCCCCGGAGGAGGACTGTCCTCCTTCAAGCGCAAGCAGCAAGGCTGCAGCAGGAGGGTGTGTTCTGGGAAGTGGGGTGGGAGGAAATGGCAGTCGTCTGCTCTGGTGAAGATTCACAGCCTTGGGAAGCCGGTGGGGTGGTTCTCCTAGGAGTTGGACCCCACTGGGCGCAGTGGGCGTGCTCTTGGGCTAGGGTTGTATGGGGCCCCAACAGCCCGGCCTGCCACAGGCACACCGGCAGCACCCTGCCTGTCACGCAGAGCGGGGCCAGGCAGGCTGACCTGGAAGCACTTACCATGTGGACTACTTCCGGGTAAATGGGTTCTGTGATCACATTCCGATTGTGCGTGATGTATTCTACCATCTCACTCAAAGCAGCTCGCTTCACTTCCTTCCACTTCAGGTCACTGAGCGGGTCGGACACAAAGTCAAAGAGGACGCAACACTGACGCAACTTCTGGATGAAAAGCTTCTCTTGATCGGCAGGAGGAACATCTGAAAAGCAGAAAGTACAACACATTGATTGCAGAAATGCTGAACCCTGGGTTACTGGAAGTCACGTCAGCTTCCTACTCTTTTTATGTGAATGAATAGATTTGAGGAGAAAGAGAGAGCGAAGGATGGGGTAGCATAATAGAGGTTAAACACCCCTGAAAGAAAACACTTGGACAATACGTTTAGTTTTAGTCCAATAACGCTTGTGTGTTTTTAACCTCATAGACAGTAGTGTTCCAAACAATGGCCTCTAAATGCAATCGTTCAACAGACATCATCGGAGCACCAGTCACCCCTGCTGGGCTCGAGAATAACACGACTGAAGACCGCCACGGTGGGCCAGGCACTTGACGTTCATGCAGCGCGCTAATGGCCGACTGCAGCCCAGGCAACAGAGGACCCCAGACAGAAGATGCTCCGAGCGCGCAAAAGGGGACAAGCACAGCGCCACTTGGCTGACAAACATATGGCAGAGGATCCGTCTGCAGATGGCCAGATGAACCAGGACCCGCAGACACACGCCAGAGACACACCGCCAGAGTGCTCCTAGAGCATTCACTCCTGTGCTGCAGGAGATGAGTGCTGATGCTGATGAGGGCATCCACAGAGCGGCCGCTGCGTTTGATACCGCGCATCCTTCCGTAGAGGCTTGTTTGTTACTGTGGTGCTGAGTGGGCTGAGTGTCCAGATGAAGACAAGCTAGGAAGAAAGTAGGAAGAAAGGCCTGGTGATCTAGATCTGACCAGTGTGATCCATGGTCCTGGGGGTGGTGCGGGACCAGGAAGTATGCAGTCTGTCCTGCTTGGGGCTCACCACGTGGCCGGTCAGCAGTCAGCTCCATGACCTCTAACAACACCCAGTGAACCAACGTCTAGCTGAGCCAGAGCGCCACCCACCCACTCAGCTTCACCTCTCGCCCTGGCAACAGCACCGAGGCACAGACCCACGGGCCAGAGGGTCGCCGCAGGGCTGCCCAATGGTGCTGCTGGCATCCAGCGTGCTAGGCCTGCCCAGAAGTCGGGGCTTTTGCAACAGTCACATTTGCCGGCGTTGAGTCAGCTTCTCGTGCCGACGGCGGTGAGCTTCATGAGTGGGGTTTAAAAATACCGACCCTGAAACGCGCTGACACGCAGAAGAGGCGCACAGCTCAATGTGTCCGAAGGCCCGATAAGTGATGTCACAAAGGCACACACAGGCGAGAGACACGCTCCTCCTGCTGCCCCAAGAACGTAACGTCGCAGAGCAGAGACAGCTCCTCGACACGACACCAGATGCCACCCAGCTGGTCCCACGGCTAGCTGAGAAGACTGTATGTTCTCCTGCACTTCAATCAGAGAGCCAGCCAGCCGACTGTAGCAAACACAGGGTCCTCGGCTAGGCTGCTCCTCTTCCACGAGCTGCAGAAGAGCTAAACAAAGTCACTCTTCTCCCTCCACCGCCTTTTGGCACACAGGGATCTTGTCATGTCAAGGCTATGCTAACGTGCACGATTATGTCAGCATGGGCTTGAGTTTGAACGCACCAAGATAGTACAACTCAAGCACCGTCAGCTGTCGTAGCTCCAACCTACATACCACAAAAGCTCCCTGGGGTCCTAAGTCATTTTGAAGAGGTTTGCGTGTTGCTGTTGAGATGCTAGCCATAACATTGGCAGTTCAAGTCCACCAAATGCTCCCTGGGAGAAAGATGAGGCTGCCTGGCCCCACAGATTCAGAGTCTCAGAACCCTACAGAATAGTTCCATCTTTGTCCTATAGGGCTGGAATCAACTCGATGGCAGTGGGCTTGGCTTTGGGTTAAGGGGTCCTGGGCTTAAATCCTCTAAGCACTGCTGTGGCCCATGAGTAGCTCGGCCTGGCTTTCTGCTCGCCGCCTGTTCCCACTCTCCCTCTCCGACCCCTCCCCATTGCTGCCGTCTCCCTGATGAGATCCCTCTGGGACCTGCATAGCGAGTTCAGACGTGGAAGCAATTCTATCCCAGTGAGGTGCTGGAAGGGCAGGTGTGGTGGCCACCTCTGTTCCCCTAAATGGAGCCGTGGTGGCACAATGGTTAAGTGCTTGGCTGCTAACTGTAAGGTGGGCACTTTGACCCCGCCCAGTGGCTCCAAGGAACGAAGACCTGGTGGTGTGCTCCCGTAAAGATGGCCACCATGATGCCACCTCCGCTGACAAGGAGCTTTTCAGAGAGCGGCCTCCCATGGTGTCCTGTGAACATGCCTGCTTCCTGGGGAGGCCCATTTCCCTGCTCCCTGCACAACATGCAGCCCGCAGCAACAGCCAGGCAGGAGGGTGATGTCCAGTCACTCCAACTCCCTGCCACATGGCCACGCGGATGCACACCGACCACATGGGGCGGAGCAGAACTGCTCCCGTGGGTGTCCAGGACGGGCTCCAGACAGAGGGCGCAGGCCTCTCCTCTCTCCTGCATCCTGAGCCCGGGAGAGCCCAAGCTGGATTCCCTAGATGTGCCCAGCGCTCAGTGCCTCAGTGAGGCTGCCACAGCCCTGTCCCCTGAGAGATGGCATGTTATGTGCCACCTGACCTGTTAGCTCAGTCCACTCTCTACTAACTCTCCACTGCTGCCTCTCGAGACCGTCCCCCTGCATGCTGGGCACTGAGACAGGCTACAGGTGTCCTGACGGCTTCCGTACTCCCATCCCCTCCCCCCACTCCCATACCCCAAACCTCTGAGTCTCCTCACAGGTGGTACTTGCCTGGTAGGCTACAGGCACAGAGCAGCACAGGCCACTAGGAAGCCCCTGGGGGCACCCAGCAGTCCCCCAACACAACACCCTCCCTCAGGACCCAGAGTGAGGCCAGCCAAGTCTCTGGGAGCATTTCCTCACTGTTCCTTAGGAAAACAAGCGTGCCAAGGGCACACTGTTCCTCTGCCTGTTAGAGGCCCGGAATCGGACTCTGCAGTCAGAGGCCCAGAGGTGTGGCCCTGCAGGCTCAGCGACAAGGGCACTTTAGCAGAGAGGACTGTGGGGCGTCACTTGGAGGGGAGGGAACCAAGTCTACAGACCCCAAAAAGCACTGAACACATCGTGGGTCCACCTCTGAAGCAGAGTGAAGCAGCTGACACTGGGGGCAGAGGCCAAGTCGTCACCAGAACACAAACGGAAAGCTTCCCCCCACGATGAGGAGGGAGGAGCTACGTCAGTAGACTCCTGTTCAGAAACACCCCACGGCATGCGCACGTGCTTCTCGGGCTCAGACACCTCCCCGGGTGATCCTCCGAGCGAGGCCCAGGCAGCCGAGGTGTGGCCGCACTATCTCGGGGAGCTTCCTCCGATAACTGGGACATGATTACACTCTCATCTCTTCCCTCTCGTCTAAAACTCACACTTGGCTATTTTTACAATTGAACTTAAAAAAAAAAAAAAAAAAAAGACCCAAACCCAACTCTATTCTAGCAATCAAACTGAGCCCCAAAGTACACACTGCAGAGGAAGGCCTGTGGGCTATTTCTGTACCCTTTTCAAATGCAAATGAATTTCACTTGTCTTGGTCAGCACATTAGAAATTAAACAAACAAACAACATTCATGATGTGCTAACTGGGCTGCATCCCCCGAGAAGAGAAATGAGGGTGGGGTGGGGGTGTGGGCGGTGGGGATGGTGGAGAAGGTAGAGGTGGAGACGGAGGAGGAGGTGGAGGTGGTAGGGGTAGGGGTAGTGGTGGTGGTGTGGAGGAATCCACTTTAGACATTTGTGTTTTCTGGCTTTGTAAGAAAGAGTTGAGTTGCCCCCAACAACACTGGCTACTTTTTCTTTAAGGTTATTAAGTGAACAAGTTGTGATGCGGATGAGAAATGCAGACACTCAGTGGCTTGGGCTCCTTGGGTCAGTGAACCCCGCTCCCCGAAATGACTACGCAGAGACATCCTACTCCAGTAAGCCTCAGCCCGAAGACCCCCAGCCCCAGCTCCCTGGGTCATCGAGTCCAATCCCCGTCAATTATGTACCCAGAAACACCCCACTCCACAGCACTCCGCTTTGCTTGCTCCCTGGGCTGCGAAGTCACCACTCTATTTCCCGCTCGGGCTCCAGGTTCTGCAGTTGCACCTCTGAGGTCACAGCTGCCTCCTGGGTGTAAGAGGCTCACTGCACAGGGATCCTGGGTCCAGAGGACCCGCTCCACTCCTGGCTTTTGCTGGCCAGGGGATTCCCCTCTCCTGTCCTCAGCGGGCTCACTTTATGCCCCGCAGGGTGGAATGCCAGTGTTACTCACAGGGGGACCCTGTCAGCGTCTTCCGCCATCTTCGTACCTGGACCCTCAGGGAAGGTCATTTGATGGGAGTTAGAGACTTCGGATAAAAGAGCCACATTACCGAATTCACTGCACCTGCGACAGTGTTATTTTTGGAATTAGGAAAAAATGTCTCGAAACATTTGAACTTTGCCTTGCTATCCTTGAAAGGCCGAGCGGCGTGGCCGACTAAAATGTGTGCTGGACGCGGCTCTCCTGTGAACCAAGTGTGGAGGGACGTCCTGTGCCGCCAGGCTGTGTCCTGCTCTGCACTGTCTGGTAGCCACAACCACACAGCCCCGACGGACTACACCACGGCCCTGGGCTCAAGGACGTGAACACTACAATTCCTCCCGAGAGAGGAAAGGGTTTGAGTCACGCCACGGGCAACAGCTGCTGTCACTGGCAGGTGCTGTCAGTGAGGCCTGACTCACAGCAGGACCGTGTCGCGCAGAAGGACACGCACCACCAGCACAATCGCTGTCAGGCTTGCATCCACTGCTGCAGCCATGGGGTCCACGCACAGTGCTTTCCAGCCTGTAGGGCTCATCTTCCGTCCCCCGTCTGACCATGTTCCACTGCTTGTCATAAGGTTTCCAGTGACGAATCCCTCCGAAGTGGACGGCCCACTCCTTCATTCTAGTCTGTTCTTTGCCTGGAAGTTCTGCTGAAATCTGCCCACTGTGGGTGACCCCACTGGCTACTGAAAGTTACCGGTGACATATCTTCCGGTATAAGTCACACACAAGC